TGAATAAAGACAGAAGCGATATATCATCACAACTTGCACATTTTAAATGCGTACCGGTACATGTTCATTTGTAAAACCGTCCATTGGTTTCATATTTGTTTGTTTTTGTTCATAAATATTTAGTTCATTACAAAATTATTAATTCGTCTACACCTGTCTCTTATGTTACCATGTTGGTCAATCTGTAAAATTTCCTCACTGGATCTTTTATTCCTTTGCAAAGGCTAGTTTTCAACTTTAATACCAATAACCAGTTAGCTGCACTGAGCAGTAAATCTAATAAATAATGTAGTATTTAAGACAGACTTGGAAGGGAGGGAGTGGGGGGAGGGGAAGCCTAGCCTAAAACCTCTGTAATAAAATCGAGTCTAGGCTATGCCTAGGTTAGAGGCCTGTGTCTACATAGGGCTCTATAGTACTAGGCCTAGTAGGCCTTAAGCCTAATAATATAGGAGGCTAGTAGTAGAAATAGTGAATTCAAATTTAGGTCTGCACTGAGGTAATAGAACACCAGGGAGGTACTATTAGGGGGACCCACTATGACACTCAAAGTAGGGAGCCTCTTGGCAATTCTAAATACCTAGACCCTTCACCCCTAAGCCAGAGGCCCGGCTTTTTCCCACACATGATCCAGCCGAAAGTTGTTAATCTAGGCCTAAACTAGGCAATATGCCGGGGGCCTTGGTCTATAGGCCTAAGTTGACTGAACTTTAATGTTTTTTAAAGCATTAGAGTTAACATAAGTCTAAAATTTTAGAGAAAGAAATGATATACATACCTGTATACGTACTATTTTGAATCAAAACACCCTGTAAATGCGTGTGTTTACTGAGTCATAATTCGGATGAATTCCAAAATGGCGTATTTAGAAATTGGTTTAAAAATCTACGCTGGTTCCCGGTGTTTGAAGCTGTTCCAGTATAGTAATTAAACTGTTGTAATCTGGTTGTATATACAATATACAGGACGGCATAAGCCAGATTAGGATTATATAACCCTCGCATATTGCATTTTACAAGGACAGTCACCAGTCCTACATATATGAATATGATGACAGTAGAATAATGGGGTGGTAAAATACATGTTATTGCAACTCCAGAAACGAATACAATATTCAAAACATGTACAATAAAACATGTACATTAAATACAACTATAAATTATTAATATTATATAAATATTGTATTGCGTTGTGTCAAGCCTGAGAGTAACGTCATAGCCGCAAGCGCAGTGTGTAACTGTGAGTGGAGTGTCGATATTTGTATTCGACGGAACGAAATAATACAGCCAAATTTCAGAGCTCAGAATGTGGATTCGCCGCAAAAATTGTGATAAATAGGTAATAAGTAAAAATAAGTAAAATACAATAAATAGGCCTAATGGAGATAATGATGACGGTGATTGTATCGATGGTCATGATGATTGCTATGGTTATGATGCTGATGACGATGACGATATTGATGATGATGATGATGACGATGACGTTGTTGTCACAATAAATATAACAATAATAGGTCCAATGATGCAAATTTAATTACCACTAGGTTAATCATGTTAAGAGTTCTTTGGAAGTGTTCTTAATAATTCATTAGATGTTTGGTATGCCGGCAAGTTAATTTGATATGAGCTTCGGTTAATAATGACCGTTATGTTTACACAGGATAAGATGGACATTACAGAGAAAGCAGAAGAATTGTTCGTGGCTCTGTCGGCATCGGTCGAAGTTGGCGAATCCATCACTATTGACAGAGACAATATTGGTAAGCGAAAGGACTGGTAACACACAGTAATGAACATTATATATGATCAGGGGCGGATGACCCATAGGGGGGGGGGGGGGGGGGGGGGCTAGAGCTTCAACACCCCCAACACACCAAAGAGAGAGGGGGAGGGGAGGAAGCGAGATGAAAAAAAAGAAAGGAGGAAGAGGGTAGAAAAGAAAATGGTATTGAAAGCTGGATCCGCCTAGGCTTACATAGCTTACAATTTTGAATTTCAAAATTTAAGCTCATATTTATTTCTTGTTTATACTCTCGTCGTACAGTATGTGTCTCTCACCTGGGGCTGAACCATAGCCCTAGTGAAACTATTTCGTTATTTTTAAATTATAAATACTATTGCAAGATTTATTAATAGTCAAGTATTCAAATGGACTCCAATTAATCACTCTTATTAAATTTTCCATTAATTGTACTCTAATATAGTTTTTAAAAAAATCATACAACATCTTAAGTATATGAGCAACACAGAGGCCATTCGGCGGAACAATATATACTGCGTTATATAGCCATTTTTCGAGTTTTCTCCTCGTTCTTCCATTATTTTGAAATTAATATCCAATGTGTGCGGTCGAATATCGTAATAGTATTCATCAACGATATAATTACGTCAATTTATCTATCAAATCACGTGGCATCCAACACTAGCGTGCACTTAATAGACACACGATGATTGTGATCATTTATCAATCATAGACGTTCAATAATGTTTAGAACAATTTTTGTTTGTTCATTGTACAGCAGTTTTGCGTGGGCGAATTAATGAACATTTATGGATAAGATGAATGGAAGCACCATATCAATTAATGAATCCACTCGATAACCTTATATAGATATTCTTTTGGATTGAAATGTTATAAGCCTAATTACGCTCTCATTCCAGAATCATGAGTAAGATATATTTAGGCCTGTCGGTGCATGATAGGGTGTTCACCATCACTACCCCACCCCACCCCGACCCCACCCAAAATTTTCCCTTCCCCAAATCTCACACTTGAACAGTTTTAATTACAAAAACAACTTCACTTAGCAGATTATGTTGCACCTTGTAAAGCAATAAAATGCTTATTATAACCATGGAGGTATTATAATAATACCTTCATGTTATAACCATGGAGGTATAATTCTACTTTCATGTTATAACAGAGTCGTACGATTCAGGCTCGGACCCAGAGTTCATCCTGGTATGACTATCGAAAAGGTTGAGTTCCTGGGGCGGATTCATACTTACAATAATGACAAGTGGATGGCGGGGTCGTGAGCGAAGAGAGCGTAATTTGTGGTTGTTCTGTCAATTTGTCAAACTGAAAACAAATGTTGAATGAATACATCCAACCTGGGTTGAAATTGAGCAAAATATGCTATAACAAACGAATATCATCGCACACAAAATTTCAGACTTTAAAAAAGCTATACAAAAACCATGTAGAATAAACTTACGATATTAAAAAACCACACACAATTCCAAAAGGCTGAGCGAAGCAATATTGTTTAATTGAATTCGCGATGATATTATAATATACATGGCGATTCTAAACAAATTAAATCAATACAGAATATATCTGCTTTATCAATGAATTGTGTTCATTCAAACATCTGCTTGACTTCGTGAAGAAAAAATAAAAATACGAATTACCATGCAGTGAAGAAAATTAATTTGAAAATTTTATCCCGACTCTACAAGAACGTTGGTTTAGAATAATTGATGTTTTTAGTCCAGTATCAGCAAATCGATATAATTATTGTTTAATATCGATTTTGAAAGAAAATCTAATAAAATATATCACATCACATTCGTTGAAGTCAATGTTTACAATGTCGGGATTTTCGATCTAAAAAATAAATGAGTAAATATATACAGCTGTTGTCTGGTCTAACACACACGATTAAAACCATGAGATGTTTTAAAATTTATACTTTATTACCGGTCAGGAGATTTTTATTCTGGCACATAATTTCGGTATCACAGGGAAAAATATCAAAAAGTGACATCGGAAAATAAGGCTTCAAATAACACGGCTATTTACTTAAAGATGATATGAATTGTAATGTCTACAAATAAACACGGATGCTCAACGGAAATAACACTTTCAGACATTAAAAAGTGTTTTTGGATTGTGTATGTATTAATTTTATTCTTTTAAATAAATTCTTATCCAGCATCTGGATAAGATGATGGTTGAAAGATAGGGCAAAATATGCTTTAGCATATCTTTTGAAAACGAATATCATCTCACTCGAGATTTCTGACATTTAACAAGAAAAGGCTATGCATAAGCTATATGGTTCACTTTATTAAAAGAATAAAATCCCACACATAATTCAAATAGGCTGAGTGAAGCAATACTTTAACAAATTATAAAAATTTGTGATTGACTTTCCATGCATCAAAGAAAATTAATGTGTAATAGCTTAGAATAATGGATATTTTTAGTTTAAGTTTCAGCATATCAATTTAATTATTGTTTAATATCGATTCTAAAAGATAATGCAAAACAAAATTATGTCATGTTTGGTTGAAGTTAATGTTGACAGTAACCTACAGCTGTTTTTTGATCTAACACTTACTACTAAAACTCTATTTTATACGGTCAGGAGCATGTTATTCTGGCAAATAGTGCCAGTATTTGGGTGGGGCGGGGGCGTTACCGACATATCCGGCTTCGTAATTACAAAATTAAGAGAACGTTAAAAAAAAGATGATGTATCAATATTCTCCTATTTCTAAAATAATTAATTAAAAAACCACTTACTTATCTCAGTAACCTACAATGCTTGTCGGTCAGCCCCGCTGCTCATAGATTGCTGCCCATTAATTACAGTCTCTTTGAAATAACATCGTTATTCATTAACTTGCAATCACTTATAGCCCTATATTTTTTAGTTTATTTCTCATCATGACCTTCGCCGTGGCGAACGATTCGACGAAGGACTGGATCCGCGCCTGTCATTCACACAGTACCGTACAGCGTAACCCTTTGTTATAATCATTTTTAAATTAATAGTAATGAAAAAGATGAATTTGTGCCTATGGTTGTGACAGATACTACCTTTAAGTCGATATTAAGAAAATGTATAACGGAAAATATAATGAAATGTGTATAACAATTGATAGAAGTGTATATTCGAAATGAATGTTAAAAATAATGTATTAGACAGCCGCTTTGTACTGACTCGCTGGGGTGCATGCAATTCATGTGTGTTTTTTAATACTCTCATTTAAATACATTTTAACATCGACAAATGTGGATGAAATCCCAACAAAAGGGAGAGAGAAAAAAAGATTTACACATTACTTTCTATAGATTTTACACTGCAAGTTGTTGGATGGGAATAGACTGCTTCCCAAAGCCACGCCCCCTAGATAGGTCTGCAAGGTCCACAAAACGGCAGTGTATGAACTTCTGGCCCTTTCTGATGGTTAGTTGTCACGTTTATCTGGCACTATGGAAAGATTCACTATGGAGTTAATTTTCATTTCATTATGAGTATAGATTTCAAATAAATTGTTCTTTGTATCTATGTTTTTAAGTGGCGGAATTGCATCATTTATCCTCATCTGACGATTTGGACGGCCTAACATTCAAAGCTAGTGGGTACAACACAACGAATTCGACACCACCTTCTCTAACATTTGACATAAATGGGGCTAGAAATGACGAAGGTATGATTGAACCGTGTCTGATAATTTATACACAAATTACAATATAAGCATAGGCCTAAAAGGTAGGACAATTACAAATTTAGCAAAATGATAATTATCTTTAAGTTGAAATTATGTTTTGCTGATTCTTTTTTATGTACTGCAGTGCCGATTTTATTGTACAGTACCAAGACTCAAGATGAAGTGGAGCTCAGAGTGCAGTCGAATACCTGACTGCTGACTGACTGATTTAACAAATGGCAGACTAACCGAATTATACGGATTTACTAACTGAGTTGACTGACTGACTGACTGACTAACACACTAAGTGAGTGAGTGACGGATTAACTGGTTGATTGAGTGATTGATGACTTGATTGATCGCTGACTAAATGAATAACTGACCCACCGACACAGAGAAAGACAGACAACCGACCGACCGACAACTAAATTTAAAGTTTAGCATCATACGTTTTAATGTGCTGTTAAAGGCACCCTCTTGAAAGATTGTTGAATAAATAAATAACGAATAATCCAACCACAGAACCTACATTTTCAAAAAGTCAAATAGAAGTAAAGTTAAACAATAATTAATACGTAAGCACTTGAACGTGTTTGATGCTGTTTTATAGGTGATGTAAATGTCGCTGTCATCTACTACGATCGTAAAATATTCAGTTCTAGTAATGGCAACGACGATGCTAAAATCGTTCGACAAGACGACAACAGGTATATAACTGTCATCTGCTATTCACGTCTGTTCATTATGTTGATATATACATAAAAAAAGAAAATGCGTAGCGATGTCACATGGATTTTTGTCCCCATGAGTTGGGTTCATGCCGCCGAAATCCCAAGAGAATTTGGCCACTAATGTATTAATTTCAGCCTTAGGCCCATACACGGAAAGTAAAGAAACGCTCACCAATATTGAGTAGATTACACGAACCAAAATTACTATAGAATTCCGTGATATTAGAATACCGGTATAATAAATGAAACATTTTATTTTTCACTTTCAAATGAAGTAGGCCTATAAACACTTCCTCAATCGAACTGCCACCAATAGGCCTAGCTCTGTAGGCCTACTCATATTATGAGTTTCAATGATACACTTTTCCAAATTAAAAAAATATATATGATAACGACTGGCTTAATGATGATGATTATAATTATAATAATATTTATATTAATAATAATAATAATTAATAATGATGTAAAATATTCACTTATAGAAATAATGGTAAGATAATGAATGTAACTATGGTCAGCGGAGTAATATCAGCGACTGCTTCAACTGCAAAACATAAAATCCCAGTGATGGTTGACTTTACACTCCCTAAGGATGTACCTAAGGTAAGAAACTTAATTGAAGTTGAGTTCGTGGACAAATGCATTAAACAAAGTGCCTAGTACAATCCTATTTATATCCTAATTATATACTGATATTGATATACTTGATATTTATATAAAACAAATGCATTAATTAGATACGGTGACGTCCCTGCATCGAATGCATACTATAGCGGTAAAATAGATTACACAAACGAAGGAAGGGTATTACATGCAAATCATTTTCAGTAGCAACACTTTATATTTATATGCACAACCTATATATTCATAAATTCCATTTACTGTACTAAACTTAGCTTGCTTGTAAGCAAAAAAGGTTTATTATTAATATAATTCCCGCATTCATTCATGGTTTTTTTTTGGAAAATCTAAACACCCTCTTCTTGCCATCGGTTATTATACGTAGAAGTGAAGAAGGCTTCGCGTGACTACTATGCACGAGTGGCAGCAACAGGCCACTTAAAATCTACGCTTGATCGACTACTGAGTGGCTTTCGCAGGGTGTAGCAGAGCGTTGGAAGACTTATCTCATGAAGGAGTCGTTATAACCATCCGCTATTTCTCTGGGGAAAAATAGAGCTAATCATATAAATGGCATCGAAAATAGGTTGGAAGACCGACCAGTTATAGTATAGGCCTATATACATAGTATATATAAACTGTTCAAAGCAAGTTCTGGTCAGGGGTTATTAAGGGATCTAGGGGTGCAGGAGAATGTGTCCTTCAAAATTATGTTTCCTGCCCCATGACCCTCTCCTCCTCCAGTGCCAATCTTACACTGACGATTTCCTGAGAGTGTTAGAAATCAACACATCTCCAGAGTTTCCTTCGATTTTCCATTCCCTTCCAAATGTTGTTTCTCAGCTCCTATCCTATCAAAGTAAATACGTTGTCGTGGTGATTAATTTGATAATTAAAAACAAATACGTGATGTTAACAATTTCTCTGATTCATTAAAATATATACAGTATAAATAATAACAAGTTGCAATTATAGTGTTAGTTTTCATCTCGTTGCTTATAATGTAGGCTAATTGGTTCCTTGTTAGCGTATAGCAGCCATACATTTAATTCAGATTAATGAACGCTTAGGCCTACAGATTGATCATGCGTTTTATTTTACATGAATGAAATATGCTAACAAATATACCACACAAATGTAGTTTTAAAAAACGTTGTGAATGGAGTAGAAGATACTCTAATAGTATAATCACCTACAACTAAGAAGTAACTTAAAACTAAATATTACGAGAACCAGTGCAAGTACTGTCAGTATATGCTTGTATCACTGCTTGTGATATCAAAACTGCCAAAAGACAAGACATATGGTCAGCAATGTATCTGAGGGGGAAGGGCACATTATAAAGGTTTTGCACTCCAAGGTTTCCCCTCCCCCACTAAAAATGTTGAGAAAAAAAAAAAATTACACTCAATATAGTTAAAAGTGGTGTTAAACTGAACCGGGCTGAAATATCACATCGCCCTCAATTTTCTCCAACTAGCCACGTCCTCCTCACTTTTGTCTTCCCGCCCTTATCAGCCCAATATTAATGCTCATATACATGCTGTCACATATTATATAAAGAAAAACATTTAAAAAAATTAAAAAATCAAGAGTATACATTCAATTTACACGAAGTATCCTTTACCCGTTCGAATACTTTATCCGATTTCCCAAAGGGTATAAAAACAGATCGAAAACTGTGTGACAGACTGAGACAGAAGCTAATAACAGCTTGTAATCTGACACAATTTCATTATAATCAATAATGATCAGTTACGGAGGACGGATTTATATAACATCACCTATGACTGTACAGATGTGTCGACCAGTCATAAACAGCGGATCCATAATGGACAAGCGAATTAAACTTCTTCCTTCCGTTTTGACTACTTGTTCATAAAAAGAATCAGGCAAATTTGAAAAATTACCCCATCTAACTAATTCCTGTGTTCGAAATCTAGGATCCATGCAGACGTCACTCGACTATAGACTGGCCCTATATCTCACTGCATGCCCGTTGTTAGGCATTATCTAGAAACAGTTTAATGCTACAGGCCTACATGCATAGTAGTAGCTTCATCCAATTTTACTCGCTTCCAATCATTTCATAATAATGTCATTACAAAGAATGACAGCTCTGCGGGCGTTCAGTCACAATCAAAATACTACCCTCCTCATCCCGACCACCGCCAATCCCCACCCACCACCCCTGCGTAATCAAGCTTAAATCCTGTTATCCACACCAAAGACGCTTTACAAAATAACTGTTGACGTGACTACATGTACCGTAATCTTGCAGGTTTATAATGAGAAACTGTAGGCTTTTGGACACCTTGGACTATATCTTCCAAAATACCGTGTCACCGTCTATGAATAACACACTTAATTACAGTGTAAACAAACTTTCGTTAATATTTCTTAGTTTGGACTTCAACCTACGCATTTGTAAATCAGCCAGGCAACTTATCGATGAAATCAGCCTCGATATTATCAATGTACTTTGCTGAAGTCGTATAATGTTGATAATCACCAGATGAAATTTCGGATGACTTAACATTTTCATACTGAAATCGTCATCAGAATACGGAAATTAAGCCGAAATTGAAACACATACTGAAATCACATGTGCTTGAAAATTAAGTTGCTGGCATTTTCCCTGTCAATGAGCTACAGTGAGTCTTATTTACTGAGTTTTAGCGTGTTATAAGGTGCCTCGCATGGGGGGGGGGGCAGTCGGCCCGGTCACCCCCCCCCCCCTCATGTTCAATTTTTTTAATGGAAATATAAAAAAAAATATAGGCCTATTCAAATTATGTCTGAGAGTACAATTTCCGGCCATTTAAAGGTGCCATAATCACAAATGTTCTTACCTCAGCCCCAACCATGGTGGGGCTGAGGTGGTATAGATCCTCCATCTGTGAAAGTACCGCCTCTATTTTGAATTTCTGGATTCGCCACTGACTCTCACAAAAATTAATTGATCGTTTAAGAGGATCAAATAAGTTTCACCAAAGAGGTTCTTCCACGAGGCCGTGCCTTGTACACTTCGAACATACGTATGTACTGTACACGTACAGAAAAAAAAACCAACTAAACTACAACTACATACACAAATAGGCCTATAGCTAAGAGGGAAAAACAGAAAACTGGAAACAAAAAGAAGCCAAAATACCACTAAATGTATATCCATCTGAACTTCCTGTTTTATAACAGGCTATAATTTTTCACTCGATTAAATTATTTCAACATGTCATATAGGAATTTAGTGAAATTTAATTAAATTAATATTGTTGGTCCTAACAAATATATATCGGTATACATAAACCTGATTTAGAATGCAATCTAGAATAGAGATTGATATATAATTATAATATAATTAATAAAATCTAACGATCTCATCACAAAAATACCCCTAGCAATGTTGTATTTGGATGAGATATGGATTTTCCAATATCATTCAATCTAACTCATCTCAAAAAAGAAAGAGCTATAGGGTACACTGTATATCAGTTCGGTGGCATACGGTATATCTCCAAAGTGTACAGGTCTAGTAAAATATTAAAAGATTAACATAAATCATTTACAGTTGTAGCGCCACTTAACACATCATTATTTTTCTTAAACCCAAGGGTACGGTAATAATTTTACGTTATAATAACGTTGGAGTTTGATATCAAGGGTTTGCTTTTGTAAATTCAAAAAAGTCATATTAATAACGTAATTTGTGAATAATAACGTTTCAGTCGTTGCTTCAACGTCGTGTTAACGTTATGTTCTGATATTACCTACAATTTTATAACGTTCGCGAAGTGTTTACAAACGTTTTATTTTGCTAGGAGCTCGCTTTCATCACGACACAACTTTATTCATCTTCCTGGATCTAGATCTGGATTATTATGCAGTTTTGTTGATATTATTATACATATGATTTATTATTCATCTATTAATTAAATAATTTATATAATGTATTTTCCTACCCATATTTAATATTACTATCGTTATAATTGTGCGTGCTTGGTTTGTTTAATGTAGGGTTGTACAAATAACTAAAATTTAATGATCAAAACAATTCAAGTAAATCAATGAAAAAGTTGACAAAGAACAAATTACTGTACAGATATTGCAATATGCATAATACAATAGGCCTCTTTGAATTGAACAGCGATAGTCCGATGCACCACTTACATTTAACATTGATGTGATAATAAACACAGATAACGGTGTGAGGATAGTGTAAGATTTAATCCTTTACTTATCTCGATACTTTAGTTTTGAAATTGTAAACATCCTTAAACACCCCACCCTAATTGGCTGTAAAGAATTGCACGTGGCCTCATGCATCATACTGAATTAGCACTTTCAGTTTTAGTTTGACGCCAAGGGCAGAATATTATTAATATTCGATTATTAGTAATCGTTAATCGCACAGTTCCTAAAGAACTTATATAGATCCATTCTAACCCACACATCTAGATCCAATATTCAAATCAATTTTCAGCAGTTGCGTTTGGAAACATTAGTTGTTCAAAGCTTCAATTAATAGATCATGATTAAATTATTTTGCCATCAATGTCGAATTCAGTGAGTAAATTCACTCTTGTGTTACATTTTGGTAATTTTCACTGTAATATATAATATCAGGCAAAATGGGAGATGTGTGGAATCTGATACCGCACTTCGTAATATACGATATCAATCTTAACTAGAAGTGGCACGTACCACGGGACAATAACCTATCAAGAACAGACCTTAATTGTGACATATCACTCAGGCCGTTGTACTTTTCTTTTGAAAGAAATATCAATCAACAAAAATAGACGCGACAGTCTGATTATAGAAAACAACACTACATGTGTCTTGGAAAGTAACAATAACCGTGCAGGTATAATTCGAAAATATTTTTCTTCGTGCCTTATAACATTATGTTCAAATTCATAACCGTACTATTTAAATTAATTTGAATGCTGATTGTAGGTCTAATCTCCTATGTAAATTGATGTATTTAAAGGGGCAGCGCAATGTTTTGTAGTTTGAGTCGCGCATGCATCCAATCATCGATCTGATTACGCAGTCATATTTCTTACGATTAGCCTCTAAACAAGGAAGATGCATCCTCGATGGTCATTATATTGGTTTATTAAAATTAAATTGGTAAATACTACTATTTAGAATCTACATACATTTGAGAAAAAAGGATTGACAATACCTTTGGCATGGAAAGCACAATATGACTTTGCCGGTTGCCTAGTAAACATGGGCCTCCTAGTGGAAAGAAGATTTATAAGTTATATTGCAATTTGTTTAGATGTGGATAAGGAGGAGAATTATAGGATAAAAATCAGTACAAAGAGAGCAAGATACATTTGTTGCATAATATTTTCGAAGTTAATAGCATGGCCATAATACTCGGTCTGAAGTATAAATGATAACTGTTTTTCATTGTACCAATGATTGATGAAAATGCAGATAAAATCCCCTTTAACAATGTGAATGGTAATCGATTATTAAATATTGATTACATAATTGTCCTAATATTCTGCCGGAGGCAGGTCCTGTCTTATGGTTATAAGCTCTTATAATGCCGCGCTACCTGGTCTTGCGACATGCTTTTCATTCGTTTTTCTCCCATTCTCTTCAAATCATTCAGCACGCCTTAACGATTATCTGTCTATCACAACTGTTGATTAAACCATTAGGCCTAAACATGATTTATTCATCCAGACATATCAGTAATGATTTGAAAGCACAGTGCTGCCAAAAGTGCATTTATATGTTTGAATTCAACACCATAATAACTTTAGTTATTCAGGCTTGGCAAAGGTGATTGACCTTTCACATGTTTTCAACCTTCGTCACTAGCGACATTCAAGATTCATTTTGTTCATGGATATATTATTTATTTTTGTTTCTATTTTTATCCTATCATTGTCAGTATGAAGTCGCATAAATAAAAATGAGTGCGGGTAATGTAAACTGTATATAAGTTACACAAAACCAACACAGGCGCGTACGGATTTAGATAAAATTTGTACCCCAAATTACTAGTCTTTCTTATCATACACTATTATTTGTTGATACAGTGTCTGACATATAGTTGTACTGCATGCATTATTGGTAATTTTTATGGTATAATAGTGTCGCCACTCTTTGTAACTATTGTGTTGCTCAATTCGTACGAATCGTGTTGTATAAAATATATAGGCCTACAGCGCATCCACTAACACCCCCCACCTCCATACGCCTCAACAAAGTAACACTCAGTCAAACAAGAATATCAACCTCTGATGGATTAAAGGGAGGAAAGAATCTGAAAATTTGAAAACAAAGGTTCTTTTTGGAACTTATTTTAGTAAAGAATTTTACAATTTTGACAGATAAAATGGGGATGCGAACGTTTTCTCTTGTCTTATCTACCACTGACATGCACGGATTTACATATACAACTTTACTACACTAATTTATATTCATTAGAATTAGGTAGAATTACAACAATGGAAAATTAAATTATATTAGATGTTGGTGCTCAACATTTAATAAAATCTAATTATTCTATTCGATGACATTAAAATGATTAATTTACCCACAGACCACCAATCAGAGCGCTAGTGAAAACGCAACCACCCGACAGGCAGTCTGCTCATATTGGAACATAACTGCTAGGTAAGATAATTATGATCGATGGCCATTTTATTTAAGTGTATCATGCAGTCACTTACCTGTTTGCTCTTTTGTTTATTCATTCATATATTTATATATAAAACTTGCATTCATTTAATCATTAATTCTTTTATTCATTCATTTTGTTATTCTTTTCTTCATTATTATATCAATAATGTATTCCTTCATATATGCATTAACTCATTTATTCATTCATTTTGTTATTCTTTTCTTCATTTTTATATCATTAATGTATTCCCTCATACGTTCATTCCTTTATATCAGTAATGTATTCATTCATATTCGTTCGTTCATTGCTGCGAAGCAGCCAATTTATATTCTTGACAGCAATTTGACCTCTGAAAGGTCATTGTTTGTCAAAAAACAAGG